TGTTGACGATCGCTTGCCATGGGATGGACGGGCCGCGGTAGCTGAGCAGGGCGTAACCTGTTCCGTGGGAGAAGGATACGTCGTAGTAGCCAGGCTTGGAGGTGTCCGTTAGAGGCTTGAGGTTGGATCCGTCCAAGTTCACCTGGTAGAGGTGCCGCTCAGTGGGGGATTCCTTTGTTGAGATAAAGTACACGATGCCCTTGCGCAAGTCCACAGCGGTTGGCGCATCCACCACTTCCCACTCGCCCTGGGTGAGAAGAATGGGTTCTGAGTTGTCCAGGGGCGTGAAGTAACCCAGGTGCTCGTAGCCCTCGTGGATCACGGTATCGAGATATCCATCGTGAGGGCGGCCGTTGTTGGGATCTGCTGGAATGAACCATGTGTACTGCGTAGGCTCTACCCAGCCACCATCGATCTCAGCGACATTCTCAACACGTACAAGCTTGCTAGTCCTGGCCTTTGTGTCAAACAAGAACACCTTCAGAATATCGCTTTCTCGGTTGGTTGCGCGCACAAGGATCTTCCCTTCGGTGCCCCAGACAATCTCAATAATGATACGATCATCGTCCTCGAAATCATCCGGTGCTTCGATCGAGAAAACCTCTTGCTTCTCAATATCGTAGAACTGCAAATTCACAACGGGATTGGGAGCTCCAGCCTTGGGGTACTTGATCTCCCTGACCTCTGGATAATCCTCTAGTCCCGGGAGAGGCTTCTTGCCCGATGGCCGTGACAGGTAGTACTGAACGGGAAATTCAGGAACAGCCGTCTCATTGGTACGCAGAAAAGCCACGTATTTGCCATCGCCAGACCACCAGGTTACACTATTGCCCGAAAAGACCTCTTCCTCGTAGACCCAGTCGGGGATGCCGTAGAAAAGATCCGTACCGCCGTCCTTTGTAATTGGGACAACCTCCTTCGAGGACAGCTTGCGCAAGTAGAGGTTGTTGTTCCTCACAAACGCGACCATATCGGAGGTTGGCGACCAGATTGCGAGCTGCACGCGTGCATCAGGATCACTTGGGTCAAGTGGCTGTGCCGATTGGGTAGCCACATCGAAGATCCAATATTTTCCAGTGAAAGAATGTCTCCAATTCTTCTCACGTTCAGACAAAAGCAGCACTTTGTTCAGGTCCGGGCTGGGCCACGTTGAGACCGGGAAGATCGTTCGTCCATCCACTTGCACAATTGCCTTTTCCATCAGCACCCTGCTTTCCTGGGCAGTCGCATCGCTTTTGCGACTACGAATGTCGTCGACCCGCAAGTATCCCTTGCCCTGATCCTCTCCTTGCTCCACGAGAAGACCATCCTCGCCATTAGGTCCCGCAATCCAGGAAACGGCGTGGGACCGAGGAAGCCACTGTCCCGTAAGCACCTGCTCCAGCGTAACCGGTTTCCCAGAACTCGAACTCCCGGAGATTGCGCCCGACTCGTGCGATTGCAGCGCTTCGGAAACTGATTGTTGGGCTGAGCGACTTTGAGTCACAAACAACACCAGGCCCCAAAGCCAACCTGCGACGCAGAGTATCACCAGGCCCCAAATCAGACGAGACGTACGGCTCCCACTGGCAGCTGGCTTCTTTGCCGAAGGTAGAAACGGCTCGTCTGCCCCTGCTTCTCCCTCTTCCACATCTCGGTATCTATTCTCATCGGACAGTCCATCGGCGCCGGGGGCGGTTGAAGTGTACTTGGATTCTTCGGGGTAGGCGGTGGTATCGACGGAGAGGCCCGAATCGGAGGATGTCGAGGCGGTGGAGGGCCGTGGACGGCTCATGGGGAGGAATTCGTTATTGTCATCCTCTTGATATTTCCCCATTCTGGGAGACGATCCTTTAGGAGGAAAGATTGGTGTCTCTGTGTCACATAAGATCACGAGGGTAGCGGTGGAAGGGAGTCACTGGCAGCTCCGGTAGATAAGAGCCGAGGGATCGTTATCGTCGGCTCGGGGGATCGGCGGTGATGGGGTCGATGAGGAGTGCGAAAGGTGGTGAACACGTTCGTGCACCGTTTTGTGCTTTTTAGAGAACGAATGCAGTCATGGACTCGAAAAACAAGGCAGAAGAGAAACCAAGAAGGTTGAGTTTCCGACGCGACGGCCGGAGAGTTGAGGCGATCAGCAAGTGAAACGGGAGGCGCAGCAGATCTACGGGGGTGTTTGTCGCCTGAGGCCACCCACGGTGTTATTCAGGCCGGGCTTCTATTGACGGCCTTTTCGGGATGCCCTACACCATACTCCTATTATTATTAATGGTTGGTCATGCAGCCAATGGGGATGGGCACTAGGGATAAAGCTTATATAGACCTCTAAATAGTCTCTTCAGGTCTGCTACTAGCATCGTCAAATGTTGTTAAAGAATTATTGTAGAATTTGATGGTAGTTGATATTATATATAAGACGGCTCATAGCCATTTCGGTTTGAAGGCCTTTTCCCACCACCCGCCCGGCCTTCCCACCTAGTACCATCCTACTAGATACATGGAAAGCGCACGACATGAATTGATTTAAAGCCCCCTTCCCTCAGCCATCACCGCAGACCACCTGCTCTCGGAGTCGGCCGGTGGCATCAACCAGTTGCTCACACTGGTTGGCTAGGGCATACCAGGCATCTGCGTCGTAGACCGACTGTTCGGGAAGAATGCGATTGAGTCGGTCGACGCTGGCAATTATGCGCGCGATTTGAATGACATAAAGCATGAAAGTATGGTCGTGCCGCTCTCTTTCGTGGCGGGAGCCCAAGCGAAACCGGTGGTCGACTGTTTCGTAGTATTCACTGAGTGCGTAGTAGAAATGCCGGTATTGCCGAATGACTCCGTTGCAGACCAAGTACAAGAACTCTCGGAGGGCTTCCTCCCTGGGGCATGTCTTGCAGAGGCTCAATTGTTCGACCGGGTCGATGATCCGCTTTAGTCCGTCGCAGCCGCCATGCAGGCGGACAGTTTCAAGGGCCTTGTTAATGGAGGGGGTACCCCCAAGACCGTTATCCAAGGCGTCGAATAATATTGAGCAACAGTTACAGTCGGTGGGGGCATCAGGGGAGGAGACATCAGGAGAGGTGATGTTAGAGGGGCTGGTATCAGAGTAGGACGAGGAGATGTCAGAGGAGGGTGTAGTGGTGGTGGTGGTGTTAGAGGAGGTGTCAGGAGATGAGGAGTTAGGGGAGGAGTTAGGGGAGGGTGATATATCAGAAAAATAAGAGGCATCAGAGGGATGGGTTGTGGAGACGTTGTGGTTGCGTGCACTACGGTGCTTGCGGTAGGTTGAGATCGAGTCATTTCTAGTAACATTGCTTGTCGGAAGGCAGGTTGGATAGAGTGTAATGGGTCTGGGAAAGGAACGGCGGATTGCACCACGCCTAGCGAGTGTTCTTGGAGGAGTAAGTGTATTGGGTGGAGTCATCATGGGAGTAGGAGAGAGGAAACTGTCACGTCTAATGCCTATAGACGGCATGGTGTTGGTAGCCATGTGTTCGATCTCTAAAAGAAGTAGGTAGATATGACAGTTAGACGCTAGTATATAGTATAGCGAGGCTGCTTTCTGCTATTCTCGCAGGATGATAGCGTAATTCTGCGGGTTTTCGTTTGCAGAGAGTCTAATTTCGGGGTATTTGAAGCACTATGAGGCGCTTAAAGATGAAGTTGAGTAGTCGATCGTGAGCAATAGAAGTGTTGACGAGGAGAAACCTGGAGGTGACATAGTCCAACAGAAATCTAGACCCATGGTTGTGTATGATTCCTTCTCCTGTAGTTCTTGCTGCGAGCCAATACATTCTGCCTTTGTATGGGATCATGAGGTAGTCATGACCGTATTCTTATACATGCCTACCTCATGATCCCATAAACAGGTCGCTTCGTTTCTAGTTATCGGACTTGACCGCGGGTAGTGGTAATTGTAGACTAACACGGGCGTTGAAGAAGCTAGAAAACCTCACTAGATAACAACGACAAAGGTCATGCATGGGGCAGAGCAATTGTATGAGATAGCCCAATTGGGTTCCAGGGAGGGCTGCTTCGCTCGTTGTGTAATCGTCAGGATACTCGATTTTCGAGCGGATCGTATGTTTGTTTGTCTTTCCATACGGTACATCTTCCTGAAAAGTATGACTGGAGACAGAAACAGTCACAAAAGAGTGTTTCTTGAGCCTGAAACGGGTATACAATGGTCAATGTGACGTTCGTTCGTTTGTCTTGAGTCAGAGAGAACACACCAGTGAGTTAAACAATACTGTATATGTGTATGGTCACCTTCTACGAAACCAGCGGACATGATATGAGCCAGCCTTTTGTCACTGCTTTTAACAAGGTAGGCATGCAGTCAAACTGTGATGATATCTGCCTGAGGCAAACACCAATATCGCTATTGTAAATGCTTAGATGCGAGAGAATCCATGTATAAAAAGGTTGAATGATGAAGCATTGGTTCAGGTTAGAGACTGAATGACAACACAACCGAATTACGAATTTGGACACATGGTGGCTCAGTGGAAGATCATGACAGCAAGAAAGCATGGGCCTAGATGATCCGAGCAGGTCAAGTGGTGTTGGAAGTGATAAGGAGGGAAAAGGGTTGCAGATCAGACGAGCTCGGACGGGGTCAGATTGGCTGGCAGTCGGTGACCAAAAAGACTAGTCTGCAGCTTGCAGATGCCATATTAGGCAAACATCCTTCCTGCATTGATTGAAATGATTAGGAGCTGGTAATATTTATCTAGTGGATGTGGGGTGTTTGTTGGGAATCAAAGTAGATGTTAAAATACTACGGATGGGTATATATAGATAGAGAGAGAGAGAGGAATGTCGGGGATCCACACAGGGAAAGTGGACAAGAATAGCATCCAACAAGATATAGACTACTACTTGACTTGGACTCCGTAATGCTGTGGGATCCGCGGAATGGTCACGGCGGGGCCACAGGGCTGAGCACCCAAGAAGTAGGGTAGTTACTTTGGGAGAAGAAGAAGAAGAAGAAGAAGAAGAAGACACACTATCTACTCTTAGATCAATCAATCCAATGCGTCCATTTTCGTTCTAACTTTAATTTATTTATTTAGTTACTGGTCTTGGATGGTGTCATCACCCGCAGATTGTCACTCCCTTTTTCCTCTTTCTCTTTTCATCTCTTATTATTATTATTCTCTCCTCTCCATTTTCTTCCCGCTGCTGTTTTCGCTCTCCGCTTTCCCCTCTCTGCTCTTCCTGCTGCTTTCTTCCTCTTCTTCTTCCCCCCTCTTCATCTTTTTCTCTTTGCGCCCTTTTTCTTTCTCCTCCCTATCTTCTCCCAGTCTTATTGCTTGTCGCACTTCCCTGTGACCCCCCCCCCCCCATTGATCTTCCAAGCAAAGTGTAATCGTGGGGTGAGGCGCACGCCGAGCATCCACTTGGAACCAAAAACGTCATCATCATCCACAGCCCGAACCTTGGCCGCAACTAGGCAGACGGATTCTACGCTGACTTCCTCTTCTAGAATCTTAATTTGATTCTATTCACTATCACCCCCTGTCAGCTGCATTTATAAAGTCAATGATTGCCCGACCAGCAGGTTGAATACCCACTGTGCTCGAGCAACTCAACCATGACTTCTGCGGACCTCTCCTCCGTTCCCAACGGAGTCCAGTCGGGCGCTGCTGCTGCTGCTTCCCCAGCCGCTTCCAACCCCGCGCCCGGCCAGATCCTCACCGGAAAACAAGAACATTGTCAGTTTTCCCCGATCGCGCCCCGTTGAATCGCTTTGGAGTCTTCGAGGGTCTTTTCTGACCGATGCAGATCTCAAGCGCGAACTCATCGCCCGCCAAGTGCAGAGCGAAATTTCCGAGCTGAATTCGCCAACCGCCCTCCGACGCTTCGGTGCCCCTTTCAAATCCGAATTCGGCGAAGTCGCGCCCGTCGACTCGGAGCTTCCCATCCTACGATACATCTTCGTCCACCATGTGCGCAATTTCCCCTTCCTCGATCAAGCTCGCGAGAAGGAGTTCTGGCAGGATAAGTTACAAGTGGTGCGTGGGTCCCCGATCCAATCCGTTTTGCGCATCTCGTAATTGAGAATTAATCGCCGGCCCATAGTTCCTCGAATCGTTCGCGACGAAGCATGTATCCTCCTCCGAAGATCGTCTGGAAGAGACCAAGCGTCGGAAGTTAGCCCGGAAGTGCGAGAAACTGGTCGAGCTGATGATGGTCTCTGGTATCCCCACGGCATCGGGCTACGAGGAGCGCATCCAGTTCTCGGAGATGGAGGTGGTAGACCGAGGGGCTAATGAAAAGGGGCTGTTGGTCAATATGCCGGAGGGTCATGCCATCCATGGCTGGGACGTCAACGTGGCTGCCGTACGCGTTACCTCGGTCAGGAGGACGGTGCGATACCACCAGCATGCGGTAAGCGTCTACGTGGCTGTGTGATTGGACTTCCCCACTGATGCACAATTTAGGAGTTTATCCTTCGAGTGCGCCGCGACGGACAGCCAGATCTCTTCGTGGCTCGACGATATGGCGATTTCGCCAAGTTTCACAAGCGACTACGCACGGAATTCCCAGGGAAGCCACTCCCACCTCTTCCCCGCAAGAACAAATCCTCCACGACAACGAGCTGGTTCGGATCGGCAGACGATGAAGCATCCTCAGTGTCGTCGGTATCAACAGTGGGTGTCGCTGTGGTTGATGACGGCACGTCCTCCCGTAACTTGGCCCCCGGAAACCACCATCAGCGGTCGTTGTCGCGGTCATCCAGGCGTTCCGTAAGATCTCCCCGAGCTTCCAGCGACGGGTCGAGGGAGACGGTACTTTACCGCGAAGAGCAGAGAGTTTCTCTTCGGGCGTTCCTTCGTACCTTGCTGCAAAACAAGCGTATAGCTGAGACAAAGGCCATGGAAGAGTTCCTCACAGCGGACCCCATCATTTTGAATGAAGAGGAGGTGCTGGACATGCAGAAGCGCAAAGATGTCGATGCGGTGCGCATAGAGGAGCAGAAGCGGTTCTACGAGATCGCCAGGGCGCGTGCAGCCGAATTGGACGTCTACATGGAGAACTTCCGCCGCGATATTGTGGAGAGCAGTAAGTCCTTGCTGAGGTCTCGATCAAAGGCTTATTCCGCTGACAATAGAATTACAATCTAGACGGTTTGACCAAACTGTTCGCTGAAATCAAAGAAAAGCCCACGGTGCAGGATCTGAGTCCCAAGTATCAGAAATTTGCGGAGTGGCTCCGGATAGAGTACGTGTTTAATGGAATACCGTTGCTCTGTATTCAGACTAACCAAACGCCAGGGTTGCTGCAACACTTTACCACCTTTTCCTGGCCGAGGATAATTCCCCTGAATTGTTCGCGCAAGCTAAGCGAATTCATTCGCTTGTCCCGTACACTTTGTTGAAGAATGTTATTCGTATTGCCAACCCCGCGGCCGTCATGGCAGGAGTGCTGGACCTGTTCTTGGCCCAACCCTTCGGCTCTCGCTCCCTGCTCCAGCGGATCTTCTCCATGACCCTCAACGATGGCATCAAGGCCTTCCAGAAATCGATCGATGCGTTGGCTGCCAAGGTCGATGATCCCATTCTTTGCCAAAAGTTGAAAGCCTTTACCGATGCCGACGAAGAGGTCAAGAACGAGATTCGTGCCGAAGCTGCCGCCGAGGATGTTGACATTATCGTGGCCATCCTCCGTAGCGAGTATCTGCAACCCGAGCTGGCTCCAGAGCAATTCGGCAAGGTGTTTAATGGATACGTAGCATGGAACCAAGCCGTGGACAATGTTGAGGTGGAGATGCGCGAGGGGGCGCACTGGTTTGCGAACTTGAAGCAGCTTCTGAAGCTGTACACTCGTCAAAGGGACAAGGCTATGATGTTGAGTATCGTAGAAGAGCCAACTACTCTTCAGCTGTTCCGCGACCTCTTCACCATTTTCTACGAACCCCTGGTGCGCGTCTACAAGTCTGCCAACGTCTACAGCAGCATCACCGATTTTGCACATTTCGCCGACGATGCGATTGCGGTGATTGAGAAGTGTCAGCGGCAAGATGTGTCGGCAGATCCGAACCAGACCGTACAAGCCTTTATCGACCTGTGCGAGCGCCATCAAAGTAGCTTCTACAAATTCGTTCACGAAGTTCACCTGCACGACAATGGCCTGTTCAGTTCTCTCATGGCGTGGATCGAGGAGATTCTGGAATTCCTGCGCAAGGGGCCGCGCGGTGGTGCGCTCGATATGAACGCCTTGCTTCGGGGAGCCACGGATTTCGTGCAGATTGACAAGGACAAGGCCCTGGAAGAGATCAATGCCCTGATCAAGTGGCATGAAGACCGAAAGCGGTGGCACTTGAACAAGACGCGGCAGAAGATGGCCGCTGAGGGCACGGCACATGACGGATATTTGGGTAACGCGTCATTCCGAGGCAGCGACTTTGGCCTCGACGAGGTATGTGTTCATGACTATCACTGATGCAGTTGTGTAGCTGTGTGCTAACAAGTGAATGCAGGCCGACCTGGAAGATCTTGCCATCTCGGACGCCGAGTCGGAAGCATCCGAAGATCTGGACGACGAAGAAGACCTGGACCCGATCTCGGCGGAGCGCAGGCGGCGGGTCAAGCAGCAGGACCAACTTCGGCGTACGGCGGGCGAGCCGGTCAAGCCGGACATAAGCGAAATTCTCAAGTTGTCCGAGTCATTTGGCGTTATGTTGCGACAGGTACTTGCGGAATAAGTGTGGTTGCATTGTTAAGATACCCTAGAGTCTATACAGGCCTTGTATACATCGTTGATTCTGGTTGTTGGAGGTTGAGATCTTTGCATGGGATTGCTGGATGGGCTAGAGAGGGACATGATCTGATCTGTTCGGGGCATTGAAACTGTTGTATACACCTAATACATTTAGTTAGTTTAGAGCGAACCAAGACAGATTGCTTGGCTTTTTTTTTTTTTTTTCTTCTTTTTTTTTCTTTCTAGAAGTAATGTAAAATGCGGACCACTTTTCGCGGTCGAAAGTAGATCTTCCGCTGTCAAGTCTCCGCGTGGGAGACCCACAGTTTCCATGGCGACAACCAGTCTATCCCTCCATCTATCCCTCCATCTTTATTCTCGAATCTGTAGAAGTGCCTCTCAGCATGTTCTAGTCACTCTTAAGCCTATTCTTAATCATCTTTACTACTCTATCATGCTCTCTCCCATGAAATCCTTCGGCAACAGTCCATCGCCTCACTCGCCTCGCACAGCGGTTCCTCTGCGGGGTCTCTTCCTCGAAGGCGTTTGGCGCTGCAACTGTCCAGAGCGTCCCCCAGCCGTGAAATTCCAAACCAAGAACCATGGTGTGAACCATGGACGATGGTGTACGCAGTTAAAATCCCTTTCTGATCTACCAAAGTTACCTCAAAAGCCAATTCCACTTCCGAATTCCTAGCTAACCACTGAACCCCGCACCCCACCCCTCACAGTCTACGTCTGCCAAAAGCCCCAAGAGAAACGCTGTCGCTTCTTTCTCTGGGCCAGCGACGCCGAAGTTCGCGAGAAGCACGCCGTCTTGACGAACTCTCGCACTGAACCTGCCACGGATTCCTTCTCCTCTACTGCCACCACTGCCACGATTTCCGCCCCCGAGACACCCTCCAAGAAACCACGCCTATCTGAAACTGGCCTTCTAACCCCGCAAACTGATCGTACGGTAAGATTCGGAGGTATGGGCCTGGACAATAGTGGAGCAAGAGGGAAGGGAGGACGGTTGAGTGCGACTATGCCTCCTCAAAGCGCCAAAGCGCGCATGATGGCTGAAGATTTTGATGAATTTGAATGGGAGGATTCGGATGATGCGGTGGTGGAGAATATACTTAGTTCTCAGGAACAGAGGCAGCAACGGGCTGCTGCTGCTGCTGCGCCAATGCGACAGCCGAATTTCGGGCCTCCCAAGACGCCGTCCCGAGACGCAGCTGGGGCTTCTGCGCCAGGGAAGAGAAAGTTCGATGACATCTCGGAGGGCTCGAAGACGGAAGTCTTTACACCGACATCGTTGGCTAGATCTTTTACGGATCGGGCGGTGTCGTTCTCGTCTTCTGTGTCGCCGTCGTCGTTAGAGTTCTCGAAGACGCCTACGCCGGTGAGGTTTGGGACTAGTCCGGCTACAGGTGAAGATAAGGCTTCGTCTGAGCTGATTGCGCAAGCTGCTGAGATCCTAGAAAGGAATAAGGTGGTGATGTCGGAGAAAGCGAAGGGTGAGTTGATGGATCTCTTGCAGAAGCATGACTTGAAGATGAAGGGGATTGCCCGGGGACGGGACATTTCCAGGATTGCGTTGAAGAAGAAGGACGATCAAATTAAGGCGTTGAATGAGCGAGTAGCAATGCTGGAAAGGAGGTGAACTATGAAGTGGTTACGATGATACCCTATCAATATGTGGTTTGTATTCCTCTGTTGCGTCTTCGCGTGATGATCTGATGACGATGTCCATTCTTGCTTTATTAATGTATCAGGGTCTGCTGGCGGATTTCCTAGGTGATTTATTTCGGTAGCTTTAGCTAGATATAATTGAACAATTTGACTACCCTTACTATCTTGTACTCAATCCCTCCATAATTACCAGTAGAAGACATGTGATCCCCCATATCAATCTTATCTCCCGTCACGTGCCGATAAGCCACGGAGTCACAGCCCAATTCCAAAGTCTAAAAAATGTCGCGATCCTCCCACCAAACGAACAACCAGATCCCAGCCAGTCCATGCCAGCCTCGCGCTTTGATTACGTCGACTAGCACAGACCGCCAATTTACCGAACTCAAATATCTAACTAAATATACTGCTCATGTCCATGGAAATCGACTCCGAACCCACCCAACCGCTCCGCAGCGACCTCCCCGCCATGTTCCGTCCTCCAGTGAACCGGGCCATGAGAGTCCTGGACCGGTCCTTCTTTAAGAAGACGGTACCGATCTCTGCGGCAGCGATTTTCAAGACATCGGATATCTCCAATGTGCGGAAGGAATTGACCAAGAGCCGGGATATGCTCGTGCTGCCGAGATTGGGCTCTATAAGGGAGATTAAGATCAATGATTTGGTGCATAAGTGTCTTTTGTTGAGGGAGGATATTAAGCATGATGGTATGACCACTGCCTCGGCTTTGGAGATACTGTGGTATTGGGGTTATGCTGACGGGTCTAGATACTGCGACATGGTCGCCGACGATTAGTGAGCTTGTGAAAAAGGGAATGGTTGGCGTTAAGCCTTATGATTTGACGTTGGATTACGATTACTGGACTTATGGTGCGTGGGAACGATGCTTCGCTGTATGAAAATCAAGGCTAATTAATTAATTGGAGCAGCGGATATCATGTCCTGCATTCTTCCCGAGGACATGCTCGATGAGATCCCTCAGGGATTCACGCAAGTCGGCCATGTTTGTAAGTCCTCTTTATTATGCACATCTCAGGCTCAAGCTGACCAACTAGCGCACCTCAACCTCCGCGAGCAATACCTGCCTTACAAGCACCTGCTTGCCCAGGTCCTGCTGGACAAGAACCCCAACATCAGCACCGTCATCCGCAAGACCGAGGATGTGGGCTCCCACAGTGAATTCCGCACGTTCCCCTTTGAGCTGCTGGCCGGTGAGGACAACCTGAACGTTGTCCAGCACGAGCAACACTGCGAGTTCCGCTTCGACTACTCGCGTGTGTACTGGAACAGCCGTCTCGAGACGGAGCACCGTCGTCTCGTGGACAAGTTCCGCCCTGGAGAGATGGTCTGCGACGTGATGGCAGGCGTCGGGCCCTTCGCAGTGCCCGCAGGCCGCAAGAAGATCTTCGTGTGGGCCAACGATCTCAACCCGCACGGATACGAGGTGATGCTGGACGCCGTCAAGCGCAACAAGGCCGACAAGTTCGTCACCCCCTTCAACAAGGACGGTCGCGAGTTCATCCGCTGGTCTGCCCAGGCCCTCCTGGACTCTCCCCACACCGTGACCATCGAGCCCAAGGTGCGCAGAAGCAAGAAGGCCGCCGCAGAGGAAAAGGGAGAGGCACTCCCCGCCCCGGAGGTGTTCCATCGCCCTAACGTCTTCCATCACTACGTGATGAACCTCCCCGGTAACGCGATTGAGTTCCTCGACGCCTTTGTCGGCGTCTACGCAGGCAAGGAGTCGCTCTTTGCCCCTCACACGTCTCAGCCGCTGCCCAAGGTCCATGTGTACTGCTTCTCGGGCCACTCTGCGGACGAACACGATGACCACGTCGACATCTGCCAGCGCATCTCGGAGCGCATTGGACACACTATTACCACCGAGGACCGTGTCGGCGGCAGCGGTAACCAGGAGATCGATTTGACCATCCACAACGTCAGATTGGTCAGCCCCAACAAGCAGATGTTCTGCGCCAGCTTCCGTCTGCCAAAGGAGGTTGCATTCCGCCAGATCTAACTTGCTATCGAGAAAACTTCTGAAGCATCATATACGAACGATCTACTTAACGCATAGCATACAGGCGTTTTGGCTATGGATATAGAAAAAGTGCCGATAAAATGTTGAATTGATACCCTTACACCTATACTTTTGTAAATAACTTACATCCACTTAAAATAAAACATACTAGACAGATAAATATATATCATCCCACTCACCTCCCAATATCTCTAATATATTTACCATATGGAACACCCCGTCCCATATATCCACCACAAGGCACAAGGCGGTCACCCACTCACCGCCCCCTCATCAAGCTAGTAATCTGCCGGAACAAAACTCAACGCCTTCCCCCGATCCCGCACTAACCAACCAACATCACCAACATCACCACCAGCGACGCGCTACCTCACTCTTAACGACCTACCACCACATTTCCCAAGCCAGCAATCACATACACACACACACACACATATATATAATCTATCAAAATGAGCGTCCAACTCCCCCCCGCCACGCACCGCAAGCGCACCCTCCCACAAGGCGAACTCGAAGCCGCGTCAACGCTGAAGCTCGGCGCGGACCAGAACACGCATACGCTGTCGCTGTCCGAGGCAAGATTGGTTATTAATAAGGTGTTGGAGAATAAGCGGAGGGGTGGGAAGAAGTATGAGGAGCCGGAGTGAGTTATCCTATCTATTCATCTTTTGTGGATTGGCTTGGGAAGGAGGCATAGGTGGTTACAGGACTGAGAGGGTTATGGGCTAATACATGTTTTTTGATGGTTAGGAACCTTACGAAAACGCTCGATTACTTAGAGGTGTTTGCGCGGTTCAAGGATGAAGAGAATATCAAGGCTGTGGAGCGGTTGTTGAATTCGCATACGGAGTTGGAGATGTTTGAGCGGTCGCAGCTTGGTATGTTTATCTATTCCTCCGGATGGTTCTTACTGGGGAAGGGGAGAGGAGTGTTGGGGGGTGTCATGGTCAGCAGCTAATAACCAATAGGAAGTCTGTGCTGCGATAACGCCGAGGAAGCCAAATCGCTCATTCCGAGTCTGCAGCATAAGATCTCGGATGGCGATTTGCAGGAGCTGCTGGATGAGTTGACCAAGCTGCGCAATTTCACGGAGTAGCTTCATCCTTTCTTTATTTTTTATGCATGTTGTGTTCGTGTACGTTGCTGTACCATATGGCCATTCTATGAGCATGGGGTCTGTTTTCGGGATAGCATGGAGTTATGGAGTTATGACGCATAGTTAATCTATACTGTCTGTGCAATAAGACAGGAGAGGGAAGAAAAAGAAAAAGAAAAAGCAGGGGGTATCGTTAAGAAAAAGGAAAATTGCATTGGCGGTTGCAGGACGATCATGTCGTCATGGGTGGTGGTTGTTCTTTTCTCTCTCGTTCCCTTTGTTTGGGATATGGGACGATATACACAGTAGCTAGTCAGTCACCATCTATTGTGTACTGCATACAGTGTTAGATAAGAAGCAGAAAACATGTGAAAAAACCATCCATCCATCTATCAGCAGACCCGAGTCTAGATGACCTACCTACCAGCAAAGAACTAGATAGAGTTTAAACAGAGTGGATAACTTCACCAGCACCATGACCATGACCATGCGAAAAGCGGAAGCTTGCCTGTTTAGTTGATTCAGTAATTGACCGGTTCATCCATCCATTAGTAGTTGGGATGACACGGAAGATAGCTTGAACTGAAAGGAAAATGATCAATCAATCCCATCCATGGGCCTGTTGAGAAAGACTCGACCCGAACTGCTGAAAAAGTCTAATGCAGTATCGGTTGGATAATTGAAACCTCATGAGAGGCCCGAAGGATTGGACTAGATAAAACGCTCTAGTAGTAGTAGATTAGTACTCCATGGTAGTAAGGCAGTGCACGTTGCCGCCGACCTCCTACTAATCCAAGTAACAGGTTGAATGAATGAATAATGGTTGAATGGATGAGAGATGATGTGATCGCCTTCCCCGTTCGGAATATTGAATAATGGGAATTCCTTTCTTAGTTCTTTTCCTTTTTTTATTTCCCCCCGGGAAAGGATGCAGCAGGATGACCTTTACATTAAGTAATGGGAATCTCATTTCCAACTTAACTTTTAGTGTGCAAAGTTGTTGGTTTGAGCTGCACGCGAGCCTAATCTGGATGGGGATTTACATTGATTGATTATAGAAACTAGACTAGTACGAGTACTGACTGACGTTCGGTCGGGCTGATTTCTCCCCGGAGATAACATTAAATCTCGGGTTTGGTGCTTTTTCTTCATATTTTTCCTTACATCATATCTTAATGGGCCTACTGGAAAGGCACCTGCAACACCCACCATGTTATAGGGAATCAAAGTAATTAATTAGAATTATTCCATAATTCGTATCAGGTACTTTCTGATGTCACAACCAATATTAATGGAACACAAAAAAAAGCATTCCATCCACCGGCGCTGTGTACTCCGTACCTGAGTCACGAAACCGTCGCGCGGCCGGGAAACCTTAGTCAACGGATACTACGGAGTAGTCTAACTAATTGAGTAGTATACAGGACAAATGGACAAATGTACTACTGCAGCTCAGTCATAACCATTAGATAATGAACAATGACGGTCAGCAGAGATGCCCAAGGGAAGGTCACTTTCCCACCAATCAGTAACCCGGGGATTTTCCCGCCGACCTGCATCATTGATTACTTATTTCATTTCTATAGTAAGTACGGAGTAAGTCGTCAAAAAAGCCCACATGGACTGGACTCATGGGGGGTGGGTTGGACTTTACATGCTTTGCTGGGAAAGCTGTGGGGAAAAGCCGTCCAGCTGCAGGGCCGATCCCCGTTGCCGGTATCGCGCTATGCCGATTTCAAGTCTATTGCAGGGGTTGTGATTGGTGGATGAAGAGCGTTATCGGGATGATGTGATTGGGAGCTGTCTCTGAGTAATCCCTGCTTGGTGAGAGGGTTTGAGCATTTCCCCGGCATGATAGGTCGGGAGAAACGGGCACCAGATCATTTATTCACTAGTATTAAATGACTATGTTTAAATAGGGAAACTGTATGTATGTATGCATAATATGTGCCAACAATGAGACCATATGGCATAAGCAGCAAGTCACTATATATATAACTCTTCACCCCTAGAGGATTAATTTGCGATCAGTTTGACTACTTCCTCGACGGTAGAATCTCCGGCAATTCTCTCAACCCCAAACTTTCCCGGACGAGAAGTTGCAATTCTCAGTACGTAATACCAAGGCCACCTCGGCAGCCAACCGATCGGGGATCCAATCAGGCGGACGAGGCTTATCTGGACGAGGAGGTGCAAGGGCGCAGGAACTTGAGGCGAAAAGTCGCCGGGTGGCCATCCAGCATGCCTGGCCACCTTTCTGTTACGTGTGGAAAACACCCGCCAGTGTTGATCGATCGCTTCATCCGGAGATTCTCTTATTGATCCTGATGACTGTTTTCCCAATTTCCTGTCTGGTTTTACCTCATGCCAATTCCATTACTAGTTATAATCAACTGAATGGACACTGGATGAGATGAAGACCGAGACAGAAAGAGAGGGAGAGTAAGGGAAAAAAGAGAACTAAAGGGAACTGAACCAACTTTTGTGTCATTGTTCTATGACTTTTTATCTATTACTATATATGTTCCTGACTACCTCTTCCCTTCTTATACACAACACCTTTTATCTACTACTACTATCTATTATTATTACTACTACTACTACTACTACTACTACTACTACTACTTCAGTATCACTATCTAATAGGAACTGAAGAAAAGAATATTACTACTACACGGCACTACACTACTACCAACTACCAACCCTACTATTACTATTATCCAGCCAGTGCAGATCCATGGCCCTGATATGATCAGTGCTTACAAGCAATCAGATCCTTCCCTGCTCTCCGCCGTCATCCTATTCCTGTGACAATAATTTTTTATTATCATTCTATTCTTATTACCTACAGCTTTTTATCAGTTCCTTTCATTTCTGGAGTATATCTCCATTTCCCCGAATTTGGGCGGCTCCGGTTCCGCTGCTCTTGTCCACCGCAAGCTTGTACTCCCCGACTTTCTCGTCCCCCCATTCGATCAATCCCCCCCGTCTCAACCCTCCCTTACTTACTACTACTGCCTTCCCTATCTACCTGACTACTTTACTTCTTACTCTATTTATCAATTCATTCCAATCATTTCAATCAATCAGCATCCGTCGGTCTGCTTACGCCTACTCCGACTGATAAGCTTCTCCCCTGCGGTTCGTACGTGGCTGGCAGGCAACCCGTCTTCTCACTCCGTACTTGCACTGTTCATTGGTCGGTGCGTTACGATAGATAGACGGGATCACCGCGCGACACTCAAACCACCCCGTCGTCAAGACTGGCCTGCAGTCAAACCCCAGATATTTCCAATCCCAATTTGGTGAGGGGTCCTGGCTTACGCCCTGGCTACTGCTACTACTCCTCTAGCCTTCCTAGCCTCTTTTTCTCTCTTGTCTCCTGCCCTCCGTGCTTCCCATTGCGGAGCTCGTACGGCGGAGTCTCCGACGGCCCCGGTTCATTTACGTGACAAGAATCTCCATTGATTGTTGTCACTATCGCCCATCTCTGATTAAATTATTGTTTCTGTGACAATTTGTGAGATTTTGGGCCTGCGAGTCTCGCCGCCTATCTACGCATCTCCTGCTTGTCTCCCCGGTTTGCTCCTGCAGTGGCCACTCTTGAGTTGGCGTTGCTTATCGCTCCATCCGGTTTATCTTTCGACCTGTCCATTCAACCCCCTCTGAATGGCTGCCGTTATCACTCTCCAGTCGTCCTCGACGACGGGGCCAACTGCCCCCTCTGCAGCTGCCTTTCAACAGTCGCCTGCTTCTGACCACCACCACCACCAACTCCTTCGACCCCGGGTCCAGCAGCAGCAATCCCAACCCCAGCCATCACACGCCCCCCAACCCGGTTCCATATCCACGCCACAGTCGCCGGCTTCATCCATTGGCACCCTCCCCCGTGTGACTGCAGCAGGCCGGGATGCGCCCAGTTGCGACGCCTGTGTGCGCAGAAAGAGCCGGTGTGCTATCAACGAAATGATCAATAAATGCTATTCGTGCGACTTCCACCGCCAGGACTGCACCTTCACCTTGTCCGTGACGAGTCGCCCCGGCACGGCGGATGTCACGTCGAAAAAACGTAAATTGGACGACGCCGATGCCGAAGAAGTGGAATCTCCTAAGAGGTATGATTTCACCGGGGCGTCCTCAAGGCCGATCTCGGACGTCCCTGCCCTGAATCTCAATTCGGAACGCTAATTTGGGTACCCGCTGCCAGGCAATCTACTACTCTTCCCCCAGCCTCCAACAAACCAGACAGCTCTTCCCGCCCTACTTTGAACAACCACCACATCCTCACGCCGGCCTTTTGGTTCCAATCCACTCAGCATATCGGCCTCACCACTGAACTCGAGCCCGCCCTCCTCGAGTTCTTACCCTTGGACCAGAACAACGAAGGGTGTGTGGCCTCGTCTCGCGTGCGCAAGTTCGGTGACGACGGCACCTTCATGAGGGTGGTCAACACCCGTTCTCACGCGGACTCCCCGCAAACCGCTACGCTCGATGCCATTGAAAGCCTGGTCGCCCCTTATGGCTCCACCTTGGTGGAGAAGTTCTTCGAGCATGTCCATCCTAGCTTTCCCATCCTCATGGAGGATAGCTTCCGTCAGTCCTACCGGGCACGGACCGGGCTGACGCCGTTGCTATTGTCCGCCGTCTATGTGTTGGCGTTGAAGTTCGTTGATGTCGGCTCGGCCTCGCAGTCCGTCCGACGGCCGGATGCCGGCCGGCTGGAGAGCACGGCCCTCAAGCTGCTGACCGAGTCCCTGCCCTATGCGTCTATGTCGACTGTGCAAGCCGGCCTGCTGCTCATGCAGCGGTCCAACCTCGCCACAGCGGCCTTGAATGCACAATTGGTGACCGCCGGGTTCGAGCTGGGCCTGCACCAGGACTGCTCTAATTGGCGGATGGAAACGTGGGAGAAGGGTCTCCGGAAACGCTTGGCATGGGCACTATATATGCAGGACAAATGGTCCGCTTTGGTGCATGGCCGTCCATCTCACATTGTGTCTTCCAATTGGATGGTTCAGGACCTGGTGGAACAGGATTTCACCGATGCCTTCTCGGGTGCATCCGCCCACGATGATGCGCCCGTCGGCCATGGTCCGTTGTCCTTCTGCCACATGGTGGCCTTGACGACAATATTGTCCGATATTCTGGATCGTTTCTATACTCTTCAAGCGATTGAGGAATTCAGGACGGCCGGGAACAACCGTACCCGCATGATCCTGGAGCGCGCCAAGCCGGCTCAGATCCGGCTGAAGGAGTGGTTTGGTCGCCTACCCACCCAGCTGAAGATGGACTCGGGCGGTGATATCTTCGAGACGGTCAATGAGGACAATTCCCGCAACGGTGCTTTGCACCTAGCCTATTTCGCCACGGAAATCACTCTCCACCGCTGCATTGTGCGGTCCCTCTCCCAGGATACCGCTGACGCCTACCTCTCCCATATCTGCCGCTCTGCCGCCAAGACTCGCCTGATTTCCGCCATGGACTTTGTCAACCGTCTTCGTCCGATGCATTTGAGGTCATTCTGGCCGGCCGCCGCGCGGACGAACTTTGCCCTCATCGGATCCTTTGGTGTTTTGCTTCGAGTCACCGCTCCCACCAAAGAAGAGTCGGAGTTCTACCGTCTCCGACTATGCGAATACCGGTGGACGCTGAGTGTGAGCAAGAAGGACGCCGAGTTCCTTGAATTCGCACTGGAAAGCCTCGACAGCGCGACCAACCTCGATCACTACGTCCCGGAGAAGCCCGGTATCGATGAGCTTATGACCAGCGCCGCTAAGCCTACCATTAATGCTTCCCGCTCGGGCGCGAACGCCCAGCTGGAGGACTCGATGGTCGAGCTGGAACAAACTGGCGAGAGCGGACGCGGGGGCACCTCGTCCGTTATCTCGGGTCTCGCATCTCCTGCAACCTCGATCAGCGATGACAGTGTACAAGACGCCTCGATTCCCCCGCTATAGCCTCTATACCCTCTTTCTCACCCTTCACCAAACATACGGCTGACGCGAAACGCGTCCTTACGCTCACCAACAACCTTTTGATGCCCTTGATGACCACAACTACCGCCTTCGCATCTCTGATTACCGATCTGGCGCATTCTGTGATTATTTATCTGACCTCGATGTTTTCCCGGGGTTTCCATTTCTTGATACCTTGACTGTTATATGTTTGGCTGCACTCGCTTGGAGTTGTGCGTTGTGCTTGATGATGATCGATCACTGTTTTGATTCTTACGAACTAATTCCCCACCCGGCTGGATGACTGGATGAATGACTGCACTTCCGGCATGCATTGTATGTACATATGGGTTTGCTCTTGTTCTTTTATTTCTCTTTATACTCATGATGGATCCGGGACTGGATGGATAGTTATAGACTGGTTTGGCCATGGGATGGATAGATAGCGTGGATTTACTTTATGGACTGTCACGGTCATGGTCATAAAATTGCATTCTTTGATCAATATTGCATGGTTGTAGGTGCTTCGTTCGCATGTAGAAGACACAGATGACATTCGAGATATGTAAGCTAGGATAATAACCAGTAACATATATTAACTACGTACTGCAATCCATCAATTCAGTCCCATATCCTTCTTTTACTACCCAAATACCCATGCTCAAACAACTGTTTCAACTACTAACCAAAACATAGCCCCCGTCAACCAATATACCTAGTATCCATCTACCTACCTACCTACCCAGAAAATAAATCACATACAATCTCTCTATCCCAGATATCAATCTACTTCCAAACATACAACAAATATGACACCACATCCTCCCCCACCCATTTCCCTTACTACACCTCAAACCAATATACATGCATCATACTAAGTAAACCCCTTCATAAATCCCACACAAAATAGGTAGATTAACCCGCAGAAGTTGTAAACAGAATAAAGAAAATAAGAAATAAACAGTTAACTAATGACTAGTCAGGCATGAAACATCTCACGTCGCAGACACACACACACACCCACCACACCAGGTAAATGTAGCTTGAAAGCTCCGCTTTTTTGCCCCTTCATCATCTAGCGGGTGTTATTAACAGTTTCTGGAATAGTCAGATTTGGGGGGGATGTCCGAGTTGTGAGATATTTACTTGTAAGTACTGTACTTTATTTATTTATTTATTTTGTTTGGGTGGTTTATTAAGGATGGGTTGTGGCGCAGGCTACTACTACTACTAGTTGGACTAGCAAAGTATCCCGAGTAAGTTGTTTGTGCAAGTCTAGTTAGTAGTCTAGGTGATGCCTCGATACGGGGATCATCATCATAGTATCATAGTACTACGTTAGTAGTAATTATAGTTAGCGATTTCTGCTGCAGAGATGGTAGATGGTTTGGTTACAGAGACTACTGTTTATTATTAGTTAACTCCAGGGTAGGAGAAGAAGGAAAAAAAAAAAAAAACTTTGTTTGTCTACCACAGCCTATATAGTGTGCACTTACTAGCAAGAAATAGGAAAACTTCATTATCTATCATCAAGACCCCAAGAAAAACGAAAAATCGCTGCCCCCACTCCCAAACGCAAAGTCCTCCAATATCGTAGGATCGACCAAATTAGCCAATATCTCGGCACGAGTATCTGGCTGTGAATCCTGGTTGAACAGCGAGAAGAAGAAGTCGCTGTCTGTGCTGGGTGGGACCATTCCTGTGAGGTTATCCGCCCGGTTGTGCACAGCTGTTGGGTCAGTAGCAGCAGCAGTGGCAGTATCTATACCAAGACTTGTGGGCGGGGGAGCTAGCATTGATGTATGTGCTGCTGCTGACGGTACGAGGGAAGAACGACGGCGTGCGACACATGCGCGCGCGACTTCGAGAACCTCGCGGATCATTTCGGCACAGCGGCGCGCGACGACGATGTTGTTCATGGATTCGAAGATGTCGAGGCTTTTTTCGACGTCGAGGAGGAGGTCTTCGTCGCGGATGCTGGGGAAGCCGGAGAGGACGAGGTGGAGGAGGATCATGGCGCCGTAGAGGGCGTAGGTTGTGTTGTACCACCTGTCGGATTTCCATGAGTTGGGGTTGTTTTGGAAGGGGGGAAAGGGGGGAGGGTACCAGGTTCGAATGTAAATTCTATGTAGGAAGGATTCGTATTGCATCTGGATGCTGGTTCTTGCAGCGTCGAGGCAGGTGTGTAGGTGTTGGAGTAGATTAGAGGACTCGGTGCTGGATGCTGATGCGGCGAGGAATGGTCGGTGTATTAGGATGCGGGTGTTGTAGAATCCTGTACTTACTTAGTGAACTGGTACTTGGTTATGTACAGAGCTGTTGTAACTTACTTAATCTCAAGACTAGCTTCTGTTTAAAGGCCCATTCGGTGTCGTTGAGTGAAGCCGCATCAATATCCAAGACGTGCGGCAGTGTGGCTTTCCATGCGAGCAGTTTGTTGTCAAGACTCATTGCGATCTGCGACATTTCGCTCATAGATCGCTTCGGTGAGTGGTAGAGAAGATGAGATGCTTCGGACATTATTTGGGCCAGAGCTACCATCGCTGGTATCATAGCGACGTGGTCGTCTTCTGCATCGGGGTCGAGTAGATTACCAGGCGTAGCCTATACAAAGATCAGCAGATGTACGCAAGTGTTGTGGCAGGGTATTGCACCCACCTTCAGCGTTGGTAGTGAAACCTGATAATATTGGAGATCTTTCATGCTGTCTAACCGCCCCGAGGAACAGCACATCTCACTACATCAGGTTAGTGGAGTTGCATAGAATATGTAGTTAAGAGTACTGACATTTCGTGAGAGTAGATACACCTTTTTATATTAGCTGCCTGAGTACAGATGAAGGAGCAATGCACTCACCACCAAGTCCTTCTGCCCTCCTTCCGTGTATCAAGGGACACAGACGACATGCCCGATGCCAGCCCAATAGCGACTGCAGTCCTTACTGCCATGCCGCTGTACATGAAGCAGCTATGCGGTCGCAGCGCATTTTGACAGAAGACACTCTAGTCACGAATCAGCAACAGATGGTATAATTTCAGGATGAGTACTACCCACCAGCAGCAAAAGAGCTTGTGCACTCTCTAGGCTACAGCTCTCAAACAAATCACCTAGCGCTTGTTTCGCCTTTCCAAAGTAGTAGTCTGCAAAGTCTAATGACGAAGGCTTGCTCGTAGCACCGGGCTTGCCCAGATAAGGAAGGTAATTGCAATAGTGATCAAGCAGAGCTGTCTCGTGCGGGCTAGCGTTTATGGCACCCAGAGCAACCACGGAGAAATAGAGTCCTGAGAACTTTGATATTCCGCGTAAGAATCCTGGCCGCCTGGGCAGGACAAAAGCTTCATTCTCACAACGCCGCATAAAGTTCGTCTTGCACAGCATAGGATGAATATAATGCTTGTTGCAAAAGTAGCTGCTGATGAACATTTTCTCGATTTCCAGTTGTGCCTCATCTGAAAGCCTGTCAATAAGAAATGTCAATTCATACCGGTGATCTGCCTTAAAGTCAGGTTGCTGTCACGGAAGTAGATCTAAAGGCCTAACTTGCCCACATAGCTTGGAGCATTAGCTCTGGTGCCTTCGGCATTCTCTTTCCTCCCCTGTCTATCATCCTCGGCGCCACCGGTCATTTGTGGCGGGGAGTGACTAGGGTATTTCGGATTATACAGCAGGTTCACTATCGAAAGCTGTGCCTTGTTCGTCTGTGAACTTTCCGACTGCTTGTCTGCTGGAGAGTTGGGGGTCAAATGGTCTGCGGCTGCCTTGTCTGATAATGAATTGAGTACCGCATTAGTTCCACCGTTCGTCGGGAACGAAGGCTCGTTGTCGGGAATGGTTAAAGGCTTGGTCTCTGCATGATTACGGGCCCGAGCATATAGATTTCCCAAGAAAGCGAGATTCGACGAATTGCCATAGAACTCCGTGCCATTGGTGTGGAGATTGACCCCACTCAAACCATCTCTGGATGCCGAGTCACATAGCTCAGGGGTGGCAGCTATAAAATATTCAGATTTATGAAACACTTGCAGTACCGAATAGTCTTACCAACTATGCTATCATCATCACGTTTAGGGGTAAAAACAGTAGGTGAGCTGGCATTGATATTGCCAACGCTTCGCGCAACTCGTGGGGTATAATGGTCCGGAGAGTCACTCTGGTGAAAGCCACTTTGGTTGCCCTGGCTCACATCTGGCCATGGTGATGGGCGGGTCTTCGATCTGCCTGTAGGTTAGATTCCGATGGACGGACAAGCGATAACGAATAAGAGATCTGAGCAACACAGCGCAATGACATACTTTTGAGCTTCTCGGATTTGCGCCTGCCTCTTTGCTGCTGATGAAGCCTCATTGGGGCCAGCAGCGCGATAGAAGCAGTCCAGTGAATGGTCTAAGAATGAACTGTCAGTATGCGATTCGCCTAGAGGCAAGGCAGTTTGGCTGGAGACTGAGAGCCCGGCAAGGCCGGGATTGCATACAAGCACAATAGGAACACGGTTGGGCTTGGTCGCACTGCCATTATAACGTCAGTGGAGAGCCATTTAGCAACATTGAGAATTGGCTGGGCAATCTGCAGTAAATGCAGACGCGACGAAGCCAAAGGTGGACGACGCACCTTGGTCTTGCGCACCCGACAAGTCTCGCAGGCACGTGAAGCACGCGGCGGGCGCCGACGAGAAGCCCGGAGTTTCGCCGTCACTGGCTGAGAGTCGCTGCTGCCGCCGTCCATGCCTTTCTCAACAAGTAAATCGTATGATTATCGTGGTGTTCATGCCGCTTGCTGTTGTTGTTGTTGTTGTTGGTCAGTTCCTCCAGCTGATTAGCTTGCTCCACACTAACTTGGGTCGGCAACGCTAAGATTGGCCTTTAAACCAAAAGCCCGGCTGCGATCGCCACCAACCGATGATGCCATTCCACAAGTGAACCAGGAACAACCGCGCGTCAGAGCCATCCGGGGTTTCGCGGGGTCTGGGGTCATTCCAAGACAATGCTCATCTCTCGGCTTTGCAGCCTGGGATGATCCACGCCTACGGATATACTGATGATGAGGCAGGACTACGCATTCTGGTCAGTGCTTAATGCTCCTGCTGCTAGCCCGGATATATGATTATCAACTTGCCTACCATCAGTGGCCAACTACGACGGTCCCAGTAGAGGCTATGATAGCATGCAGATGCGTAGCTGCGTTCAAACACTCTGCTTAATCTGTAGCCCTGCTCGCGGGCCTGCAGTTCCAGTTGAAACAGGCTTAGATGCCCCGATATAGTTTGATCACATTGACAGGACTCTTAGTCGTCATGAGAACTTGCTGTTGCAAGTTGACTGCGTACACTGAATGTATTCGCATCGTTGATTTGCACAACCACTGCGTCTTCAGTCCCAACTCATATGCATAGTAGCTCTACTCTAAAAGCCTATGCGCCTTGCAAATCATTCACCGGCTCGGCTCTAGAAAATATAGTTCCCTCCTTAGAAGTCAAGCCGTGCTGCGAGCACGACGGAATACGGCATTATTCGCTAGTAACAACCAAGACTGTGTTTACCTTTCGCATCCTTCTTATCCGAACATTGCACAAAGCAAGGGAGTGTGCGGAATAAGATTTCCAGAACTCCAGGCATACCAAATAATCGGCAACCTAAAGACGTGGTTGCCACGAGCTCCGCCAATGTATGTTCGTCCGACGGAAGACCCGCCACACCCATATATTCGCTCCGACGGATCTCTCTACACCTAACTCCCAGCTGCGATTATCGGCCCGGACGGCAAAAATGACGTTCAATACACAATAATCTCAATTGCCCCGCGTTATGAAGTGCGGGGGAAGCATTTGTGGGATTAATTCGGTGTCTAAAATGGCCATAACCGAGAACCATTGGGGGCGGGCGAAGTATAAGAGACGGACTACCACGTCTGTTTGAACCGCTCAAGCAACGGTCTTCCCAACCTATCTCATATCTTTCATCATCAGAATTCACAATGGCTGAGCAACAAACGAACGGAGCTACTCCCAAGGTCACTGGCCTCAGCGAGCGCACCCGCGCCAAATGGGCGTCCGCATCGACGCCAGAGGAGATCGCGGCCAACTTGCCCCCAATGCTCGATTTGACCATTGAAAACATCACCGAGAATGTCATGAAGATCAACTCCATGTGTGGCAATCCTCGCATGCGGTACCTCATCCTGAAGTTGATCCAGGCCGCCCACGACTACATCCGGGATGTCGGTCTTCAATTCGACGAATGGGAGCAAGCGTGGCAGTTCCTGACCAGAGTACGTATTACACCTTTTCACCAACTAAACAACCGTTAACACAGCTGCCATAGGTCGGCCAAATCTCCACCGACGTCCGTCACGAATTTGTCCTCCTCTCGGACATCCTGGGTATCTCCGCTCTCGTCGACGCCCTCTCCTACCCCACCGTGCCTGGCGCAACCGAGTCCTCCGTGCTCGGCCCCTTCCACGACGAAGAGGCCCACTCATTCGAATACGGAGAGTCCATCACTGCAGAGGGCACACCCGGGGAGCCCACAATCGTGCGGGGCTGGATCAAAGACACCGAAGGCAACGCCGTGCCCAAGGCCTTGATCGACGTCTGGGAAACCGACGGCAACGGCGTATACGACCTGGAGTACGACGGATCAGAGGACCCCAACTGCCGCGGAAAGATCTTCTCCGACGAGAGGGGCCACTACCTCTTCTCCTGTGTCAAGCCCGTCGCATACCCCATCTCTAATGATGGTCCCGTCGGAGAGCTCCTGCGGAAGCTGAAGCGTCATTGGTTCCGTCCTGCTCATATGGTGAGCCATCTTCCAATCTCCCCTTCATACCCACAATAGACATTAGCCAACGAAAAATGGAATAGCACTTCATGGTCGCCCACCCCGAATACACCAAGCTCATCACGGCCCTGTACTCCCGCGACAGCAACTTCGTGGAGAGCGATACCGTGTTCGGCGTCAAGAAGAGTCTGATTGTGGATTACAACTGGTGCGAGGATCTGGAGCTGGCTAAGCAGCACAATGTGGAGCCTATGGTTAAGACGATTGATGGACGCGAGTCGAAGGGGTTCTGGCTCTTGGAGCGTGACTTTATCCTTGTGAAGAAGAGTCCTCCTCCGCCTCGTAAGACGGAGGATTTGGATTAGATTGTATGGATTACTGTTTAGGGAGATAAGAATATGTTTGTCTTTAGCATTATATAAAGTATGATAGCGCAATAAATGTTTTGAGTGTCTGATTTGTGATATGGTTTCCTTTTCTTTCGTTGCACGGTGGTTATGGTGGAAAAAATCTAACTAATCTCATGGGTAGTGTCATAACTTGACATTAATCCTCCTCTATGTCTTGCAACTATATCTTTGATCAAGCCAATCTTCAACTACTAGTTACAAATCAATGCCTCATGGTTATGTTGACACTATGTGTCCAATTTGATTTACACATTACAAATACTTCACGATCCAGAGGTCCTCATCCATCCCGAATTGTCGGCACTCGGCACCAAAGACCCTCCCCGGGCCAGAGTGCCATGTTACCCCGTGCCGACTAGGCGAATAAAGGAGCATTATGCTCCAATTACCCTTCCTGGGAACGAATGTGGAGAGGCAGTAGATCCCATATCCGACGGGTTTGTTTTGGGGTTTAGAGCTCGATCCGATTGGTTTGTTTCGGAGGCAAGCTTCCCCGGATTGAGGTTCGCCGCGGAGGTCCATGCCGGTTCGTTTATCACAATCGATACGGAGGCAAGTGGTGTATATGGTCGAGTGATTTTAATGCTTTCGAGTGTAGTATGGACAAAATCACCTTATCTATGGAGCAAAGATCGTTGCAGTGTGTGGTGCCTATATAGATACCACTATCGACTATCTTATCAGCGCGGCTCTCTTCAGTGGCTGGTTATCGGATATTTGTTGCGCTTGCACCAGCAGGATCCGGCCAGAACTACTGTTCCGAGGCACTCCTCATTAGTGCATAGCCGGTCAGCACGCCAAGTTCTAGATTGTCCAAAAAAAAAAAAAAAACAATGTGCAGTTCTCAAATGAAATGCCAGACAAATGGCATCCGATTCCGACGGATAAAAGTCCGAGCCCTGCACGGACGGATACTCACGGCTCTCGGCGATGACGATTGAGCTGCAGTCCGGTGGCTCCTGCTAATGAGCTGATAGCCCGATATGGCGATTGCATGCTTATCGGGGTGGATAGCGAATTGGGTCGTTTAATGCAGGATATATAGTGCTGTACGTAAGGGATCATTATAGGCTGAAGTGTGACTTGTTGAGTAGTTTCCTTGGTATCGCTACTATATATCCCATGAACCCCGCCGGCATCTTGCCGAACTGCTTTATCCATCGTTGGCTCGCTAGTTGTTGTTCATAGTATATCACGAAGTACCTCGTCGTTTATGTATCGTTTGATCTCGCGTTCTTCGTCTCGTCCCCTTCAGAAGCAAATATATACACCCTCACGACGATATAATTTACGACTATATACCAGTACTATGGACTGGAACCAAGATAACCTGCGGGCCGGGTTCTGCCACGCTCTCTCGAATATGTATAAGAGCGAAGTCCCCCTTTACGGGGACCTGGTGGACCTGGTATGGAAGGCGGATGCAGAGGCAATTAATAGAAGTCGAAGATTAGGAGGTGCAGATGCCATTGATCCTGACGAGGTATTGCCCTCCAGAAACCGTGTCGAGAGACATGGTGCCATCCGCTTGGGAACCGCGCAGGAGCTAGCCACGATCAGGCGTATGTTCGCTGTTATGGGCATGTATCCTGTTGGATATTATGATCTGAGTGTCGCTGGTTTTCCGATGCATGCTACCGCATTTCGGCCAAGGACAAGGGAAGCCCTGGCCAGGCATCCGTTCCGAGTGTTCACAACCGTCCTGCGCATGGACTTGCTGACGGAGAGGACACGAGATCTGGCGCAGAGGGCTCTAAAACAGAGAAATATCTTCACCGACCGCTTGGTGGCTTTAATCAACCACGCTGAGGTACAGGGTCACCTCACCCCTGATGAGTGCAAGGAGTTCATCACCGAAGGGCTGGAAACTTTCCGATGGCACTCCAAGGCAACAGTGACGCTTGAAGAATACAAGATCCTCAAGGAGGAGCACCCGTTAATCGCCGACATTGTATCTTTCCCGAGCTGCCACATAAACCACCTTACTCCTCGAACCATTGATATCGACCTTGTTCAAAAGATGATGCAGGACAATGGTATGCCGGCGAAAGAACGAATTGAAGGACCTCCGCGACGCGATTGTCCCATCTTACTACGCCAGACCAGCTTCAAGGCCCTGGAGGAGACGGTATACTTCCGTGATGCTAATGAGGCATATGTCAAGGGATCCCATACAGCAAGATTTGGCGAAGTTGAGCAGCGTGGCTATGCTCTCACGCGGAAAGGCCGGAAGCTGTATGATGACATCCTCGGTCAGGTTAACAGAGAAGCGGCAGAGACAGCAGCTGACCCTGATAAATATGAGGAAATCTTGAGGAAACACTTTGAAGGATTTCCAGATGACCTCCGTGAATTGCAAAAGCAGAATCTAGCGTACTTCTGCTATCGAACAACACCCAAGGGTAAAGAAGGATTTGCATCAGAAGAGGCCAGTCTCAGCCAGCTATTGGAAAATGGCATTCTCGAGTTCGATCCCATCACATACGAGGACTTTCTTCCCCTATCTGCCGGAGGTATCTTCAACTCGAACCTAGGCAACACATCGCAGTCCAAACGGCTGATCATGGAGGCGGATGCCGACCTGGATGGGTTCCAGCAGATGATGGGAACTCCGACGGTCGATGAAATCAGTCTTTATGAACAGATGCAGAAGGACAGCCTTGAAAGCTGCCGGGTGGAGCTAGGATTGAAGAAGCTTCTGGAGTGAAGATCAGCTTTTTATGTTGTGTGTTAAGATATAAGCGTATAATCCTCAAATTTCTGCAAGCTATAAAGGTCAATGGTAGCATCTCTTGTTGACACTATTCGTTGTATATTGTAGGTGCTGTTTTCTAATAAGAATTGATGGTGTTGGAATGCAAGCTCACTCCTTCCCTTCCTGGACTGCCTACTTGCCTTTTCCTGATCTTTCTTCTCTTCCTTAACTTCCCTTCCTTTCATCTCCCATTCGCCTCATTTTAACATGCAGTTGCTGTTCATTCCATTGCTCTGTATCTTTACATTGTTGCTATCACGCTGCTAGCTCTAGTCCACCCTTTGATCATTCCAGTGTCGTCCTGCAAATGATAATTTTTGGGGCCCACCGCTTGTTCTAAAGGCAATCCAGTCCCCTCTTAGCGCAATTTATGATGCAAATACTTGGAGCCTTGCTGGCCCTGGCAGCTCTGGCCATTGCACACGATGGCCCTGATCTCGATCTCTTCGACTACGATCAACGTGGGCCTCTCTTGGGAACTTGGTTCGGTATACCCGGCCAAAATGCAACCTTTGACTATATTGTTATAGGTGGAGGCACTGCCGGGTTGACTATTGCCAGTCGGCTGGTCAGGAGCGGATATCTCAGTGTGGCCGTTGTTGAGGCAGGCGGTTTCTATGAAATCGACAACGGTGACCTCTCTGTAGTCCCAGAATACTCGACCTTCTTTTCCGGACCAGATATAAGCGATTTCCAGCCTTTGGTCGATTGGAATTTCATGACCCAACCCCAGGAGAGCCTAGGCAATCGCACACTTCATTATCCGCGCGGGAAAACGCTAGGAGGCACTTCAGGAAGAAATTACATGTATTATCATCGCCCTACCATAGGCAGTCTGCATAAATGGGCTGAAGAGGTCGGAGACAAGAGCTATGAGTTTCCCAGCATGCTTCCCTACTACAAGAAATCAGTGCATTTCACTCCTCCGGATGAAAAGCTTTTCATCAATTCGACGAACATACAAAACCCAGAAGCTTTCAGCTCAACCGGTGGTCCCCTAGAAGTCTCGTCTGGTAACTTCGTCGACGGCTTTGGAACTTGGTTTCGCAAAGCACTTATTGCTCTGGGTCTCAAGCAGACTGAATTCAATAGCGGCAATCTTTCAGGCTCTGGTTACATGACCCTAACCATCAATCCTATCAATGCTCATCGATCTTCGTCAGAAACCAGCTTCTTGCAATCGACACTCAACAGTGGCCTAGGCCCTGTCGTTTATCATAAGACACTTGCGCAGAAGATTTTGTTTGATAATCATAGAGTCGCAACTGGCGTCCAGGTTGAAACGGCTGGGACCTTTGGCATCCCCCCACTTAACTTCACCCTAAGTGCTCAGAAGGAGGTTATACTGTCGGCAGGAGCCATTCAGTCCCCTCACTTACTTATGGTGTCAGGAATTGGCCCACATGACCAACTTTTCCGGTTCAACATCAGCTGCATCAGTCATCTCCCGGGCGTCGGCCAAAACTTACAAGATCATCCCACAGCCGGAACGACGCACCGAGTGGATGTTCCAACTGTAGCCTCGTTAGCTGACGATGACACTCTAGTGGAGTCGAATGTCAAACAATACATTGTGAATGCCACTGGTCCACTGTCCATCCCTGGGCCAGGGTATTTTGGATGGGAGAAACTACCCAAGCCCTACCGCTGGCGCCTTTCGAATGAATCTATCCAAGCACTCTCGACCCTGCCAGACGACTGGCCAGAAACCGTGTATACCCCCATTGGTTATCCACAGCCAAAAAATGCGAGTGCCGGTCAAATATATGCCACCATTAGCTTCGTCAACGTTGCACCTTTCTCCCGCGGTAACATATCGCTAGCAGGTCCAAACATGACAACTCCGCCCATCATCAACCCTCAATGGCTGGCAAATACTACGGACATGGAGATAATGGTGGGCGCTTTCAACCGGAGTCGCCAGATTTGGGCGAAATTGGCCGACTTAGGCGTCGCTGATCCAGTAGAGTTCTCACCGGGAACCAATGTGACGACATATGACCAAATACTCGACTTCATCCGCAGATCATTGACAACCATCTCACATGGATCTTCAACCTGCAAGATGGGAAGGAAAGAGGACCCAATGGCAGTCGTGGATAGCTCCGCACGGGTGTATGGGGTTCAGAAACTGAGGGTTGTTGATGCGAGCAGTTTTCCGTTCCTACCTCCGGGGGCTCCTCAGTCAACAGTTTATGCTTTTGCAGAGAAGATCGCCGAGGAGATTCTGTACGGGTTGTGATTGGAAACGCATCAAAGGCGACGACTAGAGCAGATGCCGTGGTTGTCTAATATATCATCCTTAGGATACACGCTATATCAATAACAGCCTTTCATTGTTAGTGGGTATAGCTTGCTTGGATTTTCTTCCTATTAGATGGTCAGTAACAACGGCTGCTAAAGGTACACCCGGTTTGCTGGCTTCGAGGACACGGAAATACAAGGAGCAACTAAACATTCGAAACCCAATTATACAATAAAATACAATTGCACTCCTCAATGTGCATAACAGAAAAGTCCTATCTGTACATGGTATACCGCTCTACGCGGTTCCAACCAATGGATATAACACAGCATGAAACCCATACCCATCTAAACATGGGCCTCTAAAAAGGCTCGGCCCACGTCTTGCTCAAATTTTGCGAAATCCTCAAGTCCCTTTCCCTCAAATCCGAAATCTACTCCTTAAGCTCAACATTGGCTGCAGAATCAGCACTCTGCACCACAACCGCACCCTCCTGCAACAACTCCTCCGCCGTCTTAACCTTAACATCCATAACCCGCAGGATAGTATAACGATGCTTGCTCGTCACCTTCTGCACGTGACGGCGTCTCCGCTTCGTCTTCTCCGTGATGCGCAAAGGCTCCGACTCGAAACCCATCACCCGGACCCGGCACTCAAACAACCGCTCATCAAGGTACTTCTCGCCGCCCTTGAGCGAGAACTCACGAGAACCGAGCACCGACGCCCGGTTAAACCGCAGGACATCGCCCGATTTTACCTTGGGCATGAGGAAAGGCAGACGCAGCTGATCACCCTCGGTAAGCAGGTAGGGTCTGTCGTGGAGGTGGGCGGTAATGTAGTGCGGCTTTTGCGAGGTGAGGTAGGGCAGCATGTCGAGGAGGGATTGAGACACTTTCAATGGAGCGTCGAAGGTCGGGGCCACGGGCTGTTTGTTGAGAGGCACATCGGCGCGGGTTTCGGGAATGGTGTTCTGGGGAGTCAGGAAGTGAGGTTGTTCGATGGGGATGGAGGTTTGGGCCCGGGGAGTGGCACTGAGGGGAGCGGAGGGGTGTGATGATGTTGTTGTAGAGTAAGATGTGGTGGTGGCTTGGTGAAGGCAGGCACGGAAGGTGGTGTTGCTGGCGCCGGCGAGGATGGAGGATCGGGCGGCGGTGTGCTCGATGGGCAGGGCAAGTGCCCGTGCCAGTGTGGTTCGAGAGAACATGGTTGTGTGTAGTAGAGACTAGGAGAGGGAAGGAATTGAGGCGATTGTTGACCTTGACCGTGCCGTGCCTGGACTCCGAAGCATCTCGCAGGATGAAATTCCGGACGGAGAGAGATAAAGTGCTCCACGTGACTTATCGGAGTGCCAAGACCCAGTCCCGTTGCCGCCGCATCGAACTTTTTTGTCTTGTCAAGACACTTCGGGCTCCGCCGTTGTTTGATATCAACTTGTTTTTGACTCGCTTTCTCGCGGTTGATTCATCATGGTATGATTGTGATGCTCCTTGAATTGTATAGTATCTGGTTTTGCTAACTGATTGTTCCGTGTGCAGCCTCAGAACGAGTTCGTCTCACTTCCCCCACCCATGCCCCCAAAGCTGGGCCCCGACCCGAGCTGTTTTTCCACCGCCGGGGAATCCTTATATCGAAGCAACGAACAAAGCATACTGATGAGGGAAATAGGTATATCGAACGCTGGCAGAAGCAGCACGGTAAGCGGCTCGATCACGATGAGCGTGTCCGCAAGCGCCAGGCTCGTGAATCGCACAAGCAGTCCAAGGATGCGCAGAACCTGCGCGGCCTGAGGGCCAAGCTGTACCAGCAGCAGCGCCATAAGGAGAAGATCCAGATGCGCAAGCGCATCAAGGAGCAGGAAGAGAAGAACGTCAAGTCTTCCGCTCCCGATGAGCCGTCTAAGACTCCTCTGCCCCAGTATCTGCTTGATCGGTCGCAGGCCACCAACGCCAAGGCCCTGTCCAGCGCCATCAAGGACAAGCGGAATGAGAAGGCTGCTAAGTTCGCTGTGCCTCTTCCTAAGGTCAAGGGTATCAGTGAGGAGGAGATGTTCAAGGTCGTCAACACCGGAAAGAAGACCCACAAGAAGTCCTGGAAGCGCATGATCACCAAGCCTACTTTCGTCGGTAGTGACTTCACCAGACGGCCTGTTAAGTACGAACGGTTCATTCGTCCTATGGGTCTGCGTTACAAGAAGGCCAATGTTACGCAGTATGTTTATCCCCTTTCCTTTTCATTCTGTTTGTTATGGGAGTCGTTCAACTGACGTAATGGCTTTTTTTTTCCCTTTCCAGCCCCGAATTGGGTGTCACCGTCCAGCTTCCCATCCTCTCCGTCAAGAAGAACCCCCAGAACCCTCTGTATACCCAACTGGGTGTCTTGACCAAGGGTACCATCGTTGAGGTGAACGTTTCCGAACTGGGTCTCGTCACCACCAGCGGCAAGGTCGTCTGGGGTAAATGGGCGCAGATCACCAACAACCCTGACATGGACGGCACTGTCAAGTGAGTTTCCTCCTCACATCTTGCCTTATAATAATGATACTAATACTATATCACCACAGCGCTGTTCTCCTCGTCTAAACACCTCTTCTCATTCATCCATGATTATGAATCCCGCTCTATTCCTTCATATCATCATACCATATCCCTCCCTATCTCAAAATATGCCCTAGTTGCGTTGGTTTGTGTTCGTCTTCACATAGACTATATCAGTGGGTGTGGCGTTAGCGGCGCGCAAAGTATCCGTCTTGTTTCCCAATTTTCATATTCATTTGCCGAAAAGGATCCCTATTTGTCTACTTTCTGATGTGACTTGAAATTGCTCGCTGAGGCGAGTGAGCGTACCGATTCAAGTATCCCAATAAATGAAGCTTGATTTGGTCTGAGTGGTAAACATGACCCCATACTAGAAGTAAATAGCAACTACGTAGGATTTATCTCGAGACGACCATCTACAGCAAGTCCGGAATTGCACAAAGTGATATATGTAAATTAGTATATTCCAATTATACTCTTAGACCAAACTCCAAATACCCATGCTGTTTCTGGATCCCACAGCTTCCAATGCAATCAATAAACAACACGTAATCGGTCAATGACTCAATCAATCGATCAATCACCCAGGCTGAAGCGCGACTCAAGACAAAAAAAAAGACAACACCATGTTTCCAGCGGGTGTGTTCCATAAACCAAAATAATTGTGGTAGAAGAAGAGGAAAAGGATGTATAGATCCAAGATGGAACAAGAAGTGAAGAAACAGGTATCTGTCGTACGGAACACAAGAAAAAGGCGAGGATATAACGGTGGTGACTTGGGAACGCCGGGTTCATCGGAGAGGTATGGTATCAGGACGTGGAAGGCACACAGGAACATAGGAAAGATTGGTTGGTTCAGTCGACAGTGTAGGTTGGTGATGGTTAACTTAGCTGCCTTCTTCTAGTGCAGCTTTGATCTTGGCGAAGAATCCAGCGGGCCATGCGGCTAGTTCTTCGTCCTTGGGGATGCCGCGGACGCGGCAGTGGTTGACCACGTTCACGAGGATCCGGTTCAGCATGTCCTGTGTGACTGGGACGGCGCCTTCGAGCTGCGCGTCTGGGTAGAGGAATGGGTCGCGCTGGCCGAGAAGCTCTTCCACGGTTGGACGCAAGGTTTGATCGCGCTGAAGACAGCGCTTCAACGTTCGGACCAGTCCAGGGGGTACCGGGACGCCTCCTACGCCAAATGCCGGGAAGTCGATCTTCACGTGGGGATTGGGGATGGCGAGGATGCGTTCATAGTATTTGGCGATTTTAGCAAACGGAGGCTGGCCGTACACCATCTTGTAGAGAATGCATCCCAGACTCCATACGTCACTCGGTTTTCCGAGCTTCATCATCTTCCCCACACTTGCTGGTAGGCCAAGTGAGGCATTGGAGTCGACCAAGGCTTCCGGTGACATGTAGTTCGGGGTTCCCACTTGCTGTTCACGATGCACGTTCACAGTGTTATCTTGAATGGCGTTCGCGATGCCAAAATCGATTAGCTTCAGTCGGCCCTGAACCAGGAGGAAGTTCGCCGGTTTCAGATCAGAGTGGACAATGTTGTGATCGTGGACAGCTTGAACACACTCAAGCATCTCCTTCCAGTAGTATCGGGTAAAGTTGATGTCGAATCTGGCGTCCTCCGCGTTCAAACGGTAGGTAAGGATCTTCTCTAGATCTGACTCTCCAATTTCCATCAAAACACTCAAAGTATGCTTGTCTGAATTCAACTCCCAATCGAATAAACGAACAACACGATCAAGATTCTCCAACTTCTTGAGCAAGTCAATCTCACCCTTGTATCCAGCCAAGGTAGTCGGATCGACATCCTCCAGATTCACTCTCTTCAAAGCAAAAATCTTATAGTTCTCAGCCATGACGCGGTAGACTCTCGAACTTCCACCACGACCGATGCAGTCCAGCCGGGTGAAGGGCTTGTGGTTGACTGAAACTTGACTGCGCTTTTTCCGTGATTGTGATGCCGTGGCAGCTCCTCCTGTCGCGGTAGCGGTCTCAAGAACGGACATCTTAGGAGGAGGAGGGGCCGGTCTGTGAGGTGTGTTATTACTTCTTGTTGCAAGGATCTTTCTAGGGGAGTTCCCGTTCCCTGCAGGTGTCTCCCCATGCTCTTTCTTCTCGTCACCATACACCACAGCAAGCTTCTCAGGCTTGTCCAGCAAGTTGAAACCCTGAGGCTTGGCGCGCTTGAATGTCGGTGGAGGCTCATTCTCCTGGTCTCTAGACGAAGGCAATGTCGGCGGAAGAGGGACTTTGAACACAGGCTGTTCTTGCGAGCTTGAGGGTTTGGAGGACATCTCCGAAGAAGACCCGGGTGTCGATTTCGAGTGCGATCCATAGGATTTCGGTGAGGATGATCTAGAAAAGGGTCCATCTGCACGATCATAGGATCGGTGCTCATCGGTTCTGAGTGGTGGGCTTGGATCGGCCCATGATACCTTGGGTGACGAAGATTTCGCTGTGTTCTTATAGTGGTAGTCGGCGTTATCGATGTTCGCGTCGAGTTCTCGGTCTTCATTGTTCTCTTCACTCTGTCGTCGTAATACACCGCGTCTTGCGGGGCCGTTCAGGAACGTTCCAGTGAGACGTCCAACTCGCTTGACGCGCAATGAGCTCGCCATGCCGATATCCTCCGGGTTTCGTGTTCGTAATACCGATGAAGGACCGGTGCGAGGAGCATAGTCATCCTCATACCTATACTTTCTTTCATCTTCTGAACGTTCCGCACTTCCGTGGTCGTCGACATAGCTCCTTTCAGCGGAGCGTCTCTGAGAGGGGGATACGGAAGGGGGTGAGCGTGTGTGGCTACGCGATGCATTGATTCGCACGCTGCGGGGCCTAGGAGCGGGCGTAATGAAATCATTCGAATTGGTTCTTGCATCCTGGTCGGCACTTTCGCTGTTGGAGAGGAGTGATCCCTCCCTTCTCGATCTGCCGCCACTGCCGCTTAATGATGGTGCAAGGCGAACCACGCGAGGCGCAGGACTTCCGGTCGAGTGGTCTTGAGGAGGCGTCGCTCGAGATCGTCTTTCCTGGCTGGAGGCAGCAGAGGATCCCATGCGCTCGCCGCGAAGGCGCGGGGACACATCGAGTCCATCTTCGTCAAGCAGGGCCTTGACGGAAGCGCTGAATTTCGGTTCGGGAACTTCGTCGTCAGAACTGTCTCCCGGCGAGTATTGTCTAGCTACGGAGGAATTGGTTCGAAAGGTGGATGAGTTTTGGAACTCTGGGGAGGTCCGCCTGGACCCGGAGCGGGAGAGCGCGGCGCGGGACATCTCACGGGTACGAGGATTGTCGAAGTAAACCGGTAGGTGTGCTGTCGATGGTGAAGGGGGGCGAGGGCTTCATGCAAGAGCTCGGAGAGACCGCATTGACGTGTCAGCCCGGAGAACCAGCCCAGTTGGCCCCAATGGTACCTGCTGCAAAGGATTAGTAGTCGACGTTTGGCGTGTTGTGGTTAATCCGTAGTAAATCGAAACATCCAACTTCGAATTGCCGGTGGCTGGGCGCTGGTCACGTGACTGGGGTTGTTGTTCTGGTTGCCCCGGGCAATCAACTTCCCTCCATCAACAATGATCATTAGACTCCCCACTCGATGATGTCGAGGTAACTATCTACGTGGTACTTGGTCCAAAGTAGTACAAATCCCTCCTTGCTTGCACTGACAATGTTCCACATCTCTTGGGAAATTATTTTGCTTGTATCCTGGCTGACTCTGCATCTCACTGCAGGCAACCGTGCTCTCGCTTCGACGCGACGTTGACCCCCGGGGATTTTTAGCGCAAATCAGCTACTACGGTTAATGCTTCTGCTCCAATGGTAGCCCTTTATCTCCGTGCACTGATGTGCCATGGTACTTTCTGATTACTAGTAGTTGGCGTAAGCATTGGCTTTTATTAATTATTAATTAATTATTCAATCTTATTCTCTTTTATTTTACTACTATCTGGTACTATAGTTGTCTACTATTGTTGCAGTGATGCTCGGATAGAGCACAGATATATATATATATGATGTAGTATATATCCGAATGGAACATCACCTGTCAACTCACCATTCGGGAAATATAGCAATATTATCATCATAGAAAAAAGTGAACTACCGCTAACCATCTGAAATGTATACTAATCAGTTATCAGTACTTAGTACTACTACTAATAGTTTTAACTAGCGATACTAAGCACACCACACCAATACAATTGAAGCCAATTACCGATATCGTGGCAGTAGTACACATCTGGCAGCAGTACTACTAGCAGTAGTGTACAATAATAAAACGGCAACGCGACTGTAAACGAAATACAACACACAGACTAATTAGGATCGATGGCTATACAGTAAATATACTTAACCCCCAGTGAGTTCCTTAAACGGAAATGACGAGATAGGATGGAATAGCATGACCTGGTACAACACATGGAATGGGCTTGATTTTATGGCTGATATTCATATCTACCGTGAAGAGTGTACAGCAGACAACGAACGAATTGACTACAGAGAGGCCCCAGTACTTTTTGCTGGTAATTGCCTCCCACCTTTTGAACAGTGGACTACTCCAGCTATCACACTTCACATGAACTAGGATTTCTACTAGCTAGCTGTCTCATTCGTAAGCACTGTGTGTTGAGGGCTTGATGTAGGTTTGCTGAAATGGGGAGTTTTTTTGAACAGGGAAAACCTTTCTAGTCCCCAGTTCCATACTCCGAGGGGAATTATGAGCAGCAAATTGGTACGTCGAAGGCATGAATCAATTGCCATTAAAAGTGACAATTGTTAGTGCTAGTATCTGCTACTTCGACTTCTTGATGACACCCATCTCCTAATCAGTACACTGATAAGCCTGAAAACTGATAATGCGGAAAGTTGCTCAATGATAGGGTCTCACCCCCCAGTTCAGTCTTTGAGCCACAAATAGTTTGTATCTGTATCATGAGGGATTTTCTGCCGAAATGAGGAACCTACCAGCGCAATAGTGTTTGGAAGGGCATGCTAAACTGTAAGCCATGACTCGTAAGTTCAGTGGCGTAATCCCAGTCTCAGATATTACAGATTGATGAACTGGCGGAGAATAGGAGGAGTTCTATGATATGGATCAACTCTGGCAAAAATAGAACGTGGAATAAGCTCGCTGGGGCAAAGATCCCAGTTACAGGGAACTAGTCCAACCTTGAAACATGGAGCATGAACGATATTCCCGACTGTCAAAAGGGCTTTTGGCCTCAGGTTTGACGTGACCTGCCACAAGCACCTGACATCACCTGATGGTCTGCAGCTTCCTAAAGAGGCATGCGCGGCCGAGTATGTCTCCTGTCAGT